GGAAGTCGAGAGGCAGAGGTCGGGTTCGAACCCCAGACCTTCCGGTCAGTAAATTCGTGCTCTAACCACTTGGTCCATCTCGCCCCCATCTGTGATTGAAGCTCCTTTTTATTAGACAGCATGCTCTTGTTGCAGGAAGGGTTTCGTTAATTTTCCTATACTACTAACGTTATCAGTAACTTTTATTCCGAGTTCAAATGTTTTGTCTGCTGATGTCGTTTCGGAAACCTAACCCAAGCAAACATCGTTTCTCACAAAGACATCTAGTGGAGGATGTAGGGCTGATCCACTAGTCATTCTCATAATTCGCTGAGATATAACTACAGCTGCGAATTTTTGTTGAACTGTACTCACTTCCTCAATCGTCTCTTTCATCAGATGCCAGTCACAGTGCCTCATTTCTGAATAGTCCTTCATCACAGGTGAGCAGTGATGCAGTACAAAGCGGTTATCATTGCTCCGGTCGATACACCGACCGATCCCTAACCATCTTTCTTTCTGAGTTGCAAAAGGAATGCTATTTTGGCAAGTTGGGACTGCTAGTTGGAGAAACCCTGCGCTATCAAATTCATGTGGTTTGTACAGAATTTACAGGTGCCATGTACTATCCGTTCAAGTGAATTTTTTCCCCTTTCGGTGTGCGCCTCGGTGAATCAGTATTCATTTACTGGTTCCCTGTGGACATCGGTAAAGAAGCTGTATGCAAAACCAATCCACATTAGGTGCGTGTGATGTGTCTTACGAATACTTCCTCCGCCGGCCGGAATGGTTCTTTTTTGAGGGTGTCCTGAACTCCAGTAGGAACTTCGCAGTACCTTCTAGAAGTGGTCTCTTCGAAAGGGGTAATGTGCTCGGTTTGATATAACAGGTGTCACTTTTCTGGCCAACGGGCCGCCACCTGATTGGTCTTTCATCTGATTTCTCTTGTGTTCGTCCTGCGTAGCATACTTTAGCTCCCAACTTCGAAGGTCAATTGGTCTACCCACCGGCTTCGATTCGTTGTTCCTATGAATGGCTTCAACCGGATGGCGCGTTTCTGTTGGACAATGGAGTCAACTTGTTCTTATGGCTCGGGAGCAATCTGCCTGCGGAGTGGATTCAAAACGTTTTCAACGTACCTAGTGCCAGACAATTTGAGCCGGAACGGGTGAGTACCGGCCTACGTTTATGGAGTATTGGTCGAACTTATGGATTGCATGATATCGACCGAAGCCAATTAAAGCTATTTGACTATAAAACTTTAGTCCAGCCATGCTAACTAAGGATACAAGGGTCTTATCAAGTTGTTTAAAACCAGACCGATTGGTTTCTGGCTTTTACGATATTCTTGTGAATCGGTCCCGTTTGGGTAGTGACAGCATTGTTGAAAAAAGTGGGTGAGGGCGACATAAGTTGTCAGAGTGCTTGCAGTGAAAATGCAGACGTGATCTGGTGCATCTGTCTCAGATGTGGACGAGACAGTGCGAGCCTACTGGATGGATCCACGTCTCGTCTGCTGTGGTGCATGTGAAACGGATAACATGAACCAAACTGCAGAGCTAATGGCACTGTTTTTGTGGAATTGAAACGTGACGTGACCAATCAACAAAATCCTGACGGTTTCGGAGTAACGTTCAAGTCTTGCTGAACACGGCTTGGATCGACCGATCACGTGTACGTGGCTCTGCCGGAACAACCGAGCATTCCATCGATTGGATAAATGCGCGGCAAACCGAATACGGGTCGAACTTATGCGCTCTCTGATTGTTCAGAGTATCGAACAGTCGAAATCAAGCACCTTAGCTCAGTACTTCCCGTCTTTGTCGCGAATCCCCTGGCATGACCTTGCAGCTGTAATAACCGCGTACTTGTCGTACAGTGGTTGTAGCTGACACAGCTTCGTTCACCGATGATTTGGGGAGGTGGGGCAGTTAGCTGCGCATTGAAAGCGGGAACTGATAAATTGGTGCGTAAATACCGCGTTGTCAGTGGGCTGTTAAGTGGGGGGATTGGGAAGGACACTATGCATTGAAGGCAATAACTTGGATGCATGAGCTCCATTGAGGGCGCGAATGGGTCATGTCTGACAATGTCTAACCACTGATATGGCCCGTCTCGGGATCCCCGTCCAGGAAGATGGCGATGACAAGCGCAGCTGAGTTTGCTGGTAATGGCTTTCACACTTCGCTACAAAGTCATTGTTTGACCGCCTCTAACTCGTTTCCACCCTTCACGTGGCTGTGCGAAAAGAGCCCTTCGTGTAATTCGGTCGACTGGCATGCGCAGCACGTGGCCAAGCAGTAAGTATTTTGGCCGTGATACGTTTTGAACTTAGTTTATGGATGCTAGAACCAACCGAAGACCAGCACGCGCATAACAGTTTCAGGTGCATAGCTCGTGGGCCACCTTTACATCCATCTTTCTTGATTGGGCCATAGTCCTCACATTGACAGAAAAACCTAGCAATTTGTCCGTATCATCCATCTTCCCATAGTTTTTACCTGTATTGTCGTTTGTGGTCACTCCCCTGCTAGATAGAATTTTCCTACTTTCCCAAAATAATGATGCATGGCGCTATTTTGAATCCATTTCAGCTCAAAAGGTAACTAACTAACAATCTATCTGTCTCACTGTCTACTTTTTCCCAATAGGTGTACGATCTTCCCAGACTGGAAACAGATGTCTCGCGTAACCTTAGTTATCTGATTCACAGAATTCACGAGGAACATGGAAGGCACACTCGGGTACGTCGCGCCATCAGTTAACATTCTGTCTTTGTTGTCTTTTCGATGATACACATTCTCAGCCTCAACATGGGAGCATTTTGCTCTGCTGGTATGTTTTCAAGACCATGGGACATTTGGATCGCCCACCGCGGACGGAATTCAGAAATGCTATCTCACTCCCCTGAAGACTGTTGAAAAAACAAGGGATTTCACGAATCCAGTGCTCTTTCATGAGGACACGTTTTGGAATCCCCCATGGGTTCCGCTCGCAGTATGGTGCAGCATCAAAGTGGTTGTTTCCGATAGAAATTTTTCTAGTGAAATAGGCAAACTTGTTGCATGCATATTGCCTGGAGCAGAGCGTATGAGAGTTTGCAGAATGTATGACCAAACTGAAATACTCTCTTTTTTATGGCTCCATGTGGGGTCCTAGAGCTATTACACTCCGGGACCATCACCACTTTCTATCAGGGAAAGTCTGTTTTGATTATCCTTGAGAGATCGTACCAGGGAGGGAGAATTTCGTCCTGCGCTAAAGTGCGTGGCTTTTTTAATTACTGTCCGTCCGAAGATATATCTCCCTATATCTTGCACATCCCGAGCTAAAGGGCTTTGGTGACCTCTTCTTCTCCGACAACGAAAATCGCAGCAGAACTAGTCTGGTAGAGAACATGGTCGTGTGCCGGTGACCACTTTGTTAATTACTCACAAAAAAATTGAGGACAGAAACGCCAGTCGTGTTGTGACTGGGGGTCGTTAGAGTTTCGTCGTGCAACGGCGATCAATAATCGTTCACCCTTCCTGTACCGCTGTTCTGTCACCTGAAGGACGCAGGAGGGCTGAGATGGTGCCAGGTTGCTCAAGCCTAAACAGGAACAGCCGAGATGCTGAGAGTGGATTCGAACCACGGATCCTGCGGTCGATAAGTTCAGGCCCTAACCACTGAGTTATTTTGAATTGCCTCATATAACGGGATTGCAAGTACAGATGCACTCCAAAATCAGCTTTTGGGGCTTGCTGATCCTACCACAGATTTACGTGTAGTTTACATCAGTACCACGTGGAATGGCTGCGTGACTTCACCCATACTTCGCTTTCCAATGCCACCACTAGCCAGCTTTAAACGAACTTCTCCCGAAAATTTTCTCTACTCTCCAAGCTTCCTCAAATCCTCCTTGTTTATTCTTTCGCCTTGCAGCTTTTGGTGGTTCGACCCGGAGACAAGTTAGAGGCGTGCTTCAAACGTTTCTTAGTTGAAGATCGTCACAGTGGAAACTCGGTGTCTTACGTGGAATACTTGTGCCACATACACAAGGAAGTGTGTGGTCTTCTTCGATGATTGTCTGTACGGCCGCCTGCAAATCGCTCCGCCTTGCCCTACTTCGTTGTTCCTACTCTCCCCGTCGCTTGCGATATTTATTCATATCGCACTGAATTCATCCTCACAAGCGATGCTATGCAGTTCGGGATCTCTTGTCTGTGGCACCTCCGCGTCCGTCCAACCAGCCAATGCCTGATTTGTCACGTTTACGTAAGGTGATTTGCCGGTCGATGGACCACACACACCCCAGTTGACGCAGTATTACCCGTTGTCCTGCTTTTCTGGCATGCACCGCCTGTGCCTTCTCTGTTGTTATCTGTTGGGTATTTTCGTCTTTCATGGGCTAGCCCACTCGTTAGCGGTCAATCGTTCAGCACTCCCTTCAGGGGCGGCGGCGCTCTCGTCATTTTTAATTCGGTCTCTCTTTGTTACTTACAGTTCATTCTTCGGACTGGTTGTTTGGTTATCCCAATCCCATGTTGAAAAAAAACTGTTTCAAACGTTCTTCTGGCGTGTACTAAATGCCGTTTTTTCATACTTATCGACACATATGCGCTTCGACTAGCTGGCTGTCCGTTTGAACAAAATCACTCGCTTTTGTTCGCTTCTATTCAATCTGTATTCCGGAACTCCGCTTCCATTGGGGTGCGATTACTCAAGTAGGTTTCTGTTCATCCTATCTGAAGGCTGTTGCATTGCCGTGTGTTGTCTGCCCTTGATCGTTTTCACTCCTCTTTCTGGGATCCAGTTTCCTCTAACTTTGATTTTTACCTCGGTATCTGCGTGATCGGCCTCTTCAGTGATTACCGGACTTCGTCACAGCCTTCGCTTTTTCCTTGTTGGAATGGGGAAAACATCTTCGTACAACCCGAATCGGTCCCTCGCTTTATGGCGTATCCGATTGGTTGAGTTGAGCACAGGCGTTTCGGCTGCGATTATTGTCGCACGAAATATCCAGATAACGTGATCGCCACTGTTTTTTTATGATTATTACTACGCTGTACGGGATTTTCATCTCCTCTGCTGGATTAACAAAGCGATCACAAGACGTGTTTGATAAAGGATCGGTCGTAGGTGCTGACCGCTAGTCAACGTATTAGCGCGAGAATGTACGGTTTTCTTTAAGGAATCTGTCTATCCGTAGGCTCCGACTCAGCAGTTTGGCTCGCGGGAGGGAAATGTCATGTGGAGGGACTCTGTTTGGACCAGTTGACTCAATTTTCTAGACCGTGTCTATTGGAGGCGCATCTAGGTCTACACAAAGTCACGAGAGTTTAGCTTTTGATACAGTACTCCCCCCCCCTCGAACAGACTCGGTTGAACAGGTAGTTCGGGCATCACGGGGTCTTCCGTTGCAATACTTTTCGCAAAAACAAACCGTCTAGAACTGGTGGTACACTCCGATTTCCCATGTGGAAGCACCGCAACGGAGTTGCCTCGTGTCATCGACCTGTTTGTACTGATTGACAAGCAGGGTATATGGTTAGTGACATGGGTTTATGAATACTCTGTGCTGTTCACGTGTCCTTGTCCACAGTAGCGTCTATGATCACATTTTCCAGGCGCACTGTAGATCGGTGGCAATGGATCTGGAAGCTAAGATGAAGTGACGCATTAAATCTCAATATTTGTCAGGTTTTTTCGTTTCGATTGATCACATTTTCCAGGCGCACTGTAGATCGCTGGCAATGGGTCTGGAAGCTAAGATGAAGTGGCGCATTAAATCTCATTATTTGTCAGGTTTTTTCGTTTCCATCGTCGTCGATTCTCTTTTGGCATACTCATATGCTTTTGTGGTTAGTGCTTATGTTTGTCTTGATGGTACTAAGTTTCTCGTTCATAGTAGCTTGGGTGACAAGCGTAGGTTCATTACGGATGTTCAAGAATACTGAATAGCTGATACACTTCATTTCAGATGGACTTACACATCGTGCCGAGCGCTCACAGAAACCATGCCCCCCCCGCCGGACGCATCTAACTTCCCTCATCCAGTTGCGCGTGGCCTATATTAGACGGGAGGCCTTAAACCCTGATGGACGGGTAACTCACATACCAAAAGGTTTACCGGTTAAACCGTGCACTTTTCCTGTTACAGAAACAGGGTTCTATTGACCCGATCGTGTGCTGGGTGGAAACAACCGGATGATGAGTGGTCTGTGACTCAGCATCGAAGTAGTCAAGTCCCAACCCGTAAATTCAGTTGGCTAGACAACCACCGACTCTTGATTGGACACACGAGGGGTTGGTAACAGACAGACAGACATGGTGAGGCCATGCGATTGTGTTATGTCCTTTAGTGCGCAGTCAAAAATTCTGCACTTTGTCAGAAAACACTTAGGTTGTTACCAACACTCATTTTGGCCACGTTAAGTTACGTGCGAAACCCCAAAAACCAACTCGTTCAAATGGAGGTTTATCAACAACAAACCTGAAATCGTGGGACTGCGCCGGCTTAGGAACTGCTGATTTCCAACGGGATCCCAAAACCCACACCGAACCAAGGCAACGTGGCTACAGGATAACGGAATCCACATATTGATTTAGACAACACGTGCGATGACAAGGTCAAGGAGTGACTTACGTTCAGGTCAAAACAAGAAAGGTGGTATAGACCCGAACAAAATGGGGAATCGCGTGCACAATGAGAATAGCAGAAAAGAATCAACAACACCCGCAGATAGATTGATCCATCGGCCTCGTCATTATTCCTTCCGTGTTCTCTCCTATTTTCCAATGTTCAGAATTGTAGCAGCTGGAACAGTCACACTTTTATTACATGATTATAAAGTTGACTAGTTAGTTGTCATCATCACGGACAACAATAAACCAGTATCAAATGCTGGTACCTTACGCACACTGCCGCACAACCCTAATGGAAGAATACCCTAGTA